TGACTTCCACTTGACCCTTCTACAATTCTTATGAGGTAGACATTGTTATTTCTGTTACAGATGAGAAAGCCAGGGCTCTGGGGCCAGCAGGTGGTATGGTGGTTAAGGCACTGTACTCTCACATAGCCAACCACAGTTCGAGTCCTGGACCTGGAAGGTTGCTTTCTCGTTTTCCTTCTCTCTCTCTGGTGAGTGTGAATTTTTAAAAATAGTAGTACATTTAAATGTGTATATATATTTATATATACATTTATGTGTATGTGTGTATATACACACATACACATATACATATATACACATACACACACACACACACACACACACAGAGAAAACCAGGGTCCTGCCTGTGTAACAAAGTTACAATGCTAAGATATCATGATGTTGGGATTCCTTTTTTTTTTTTTTTAATTACCAGAGGGTCCATATGCTGGCCAAAGAGTACAAGAGAGAGAAAGCACCCCCTAATGGGATATGGTGACTCCATGATCCCTCCTCCTCCCCTTTTTCATCCCTTCAGGACTTCGGGTGCACATACACAAACACGTGTGTGCCAGCTCTGTTTTTCAAGCCACTGGGCTGGGACTCAAAATGGGATCCGGCTCCCTTAACCACTAGGCCGAGCCGACTCTTCTGGGATTCTTGCTAACCTCCAACAGTGCCGTAAGAAATCGCAGTGATGGAATTGGCCCATAAGTGGAGCGAATCAGCCCTGGAGTCAGAAGCTCCAGACTTTAATGATGCTTCTATTGAGTGGTGGTTTCCTCCAAATTAATGGAGATGAAAATAGTACTTAATCTCCTAAGGCTGAGGTGAGAAGCATCTATAAAAAGCCCAGTGAAAGGGTTTTGCAGCCACAAGCGAGGTAAGCACCATGTGATGCCCTCTCAAGCGTTGGCTGGTGAGGCTGGTAAGCTGCAACAGGACTGTGGGTGCCTGTGAGTCTATGCAGAGGACAGGGAGGTGGTAACCTTGATGAGGCTGAGTAACAGAGCCTGGGGCCTGAGAGGACAAAACTTAGGGGGTGAGGAATGAAGGGACTTGTCCACAGCTCCTGCTCAGCCTACCATCTGATGGACTAACGAAATGAAAGGAGGCTGTGGTTCAGTCATCCAGGCATAGCCATGGTTTCCTTGGCAAGTTCCAGGTCCCAGGGACTCAGCCACTTTGGGAGTCTGAGAGGCTCCCTTCCTTCAGTAAGCTCACTTCACTCTCAGAGAAAGGACAGACCAAGCCATCCAACCTTAGCCCAGCAAAAGCATCACCTTTTCTCACCCAGGCTCCCTATTCACACACAGCAGGAGGCCCATTTATCCTCATTAAGGAAACATGTAGAGGCCTCCTTTCAGATATCATTTCAAACACTGCTTACCCATGATAACGACTGTCAGAACTGAAAGAGCAAATTTCCACAAAGACAGAGGAAGGCAGAAAAATCCAGCTGCCAAAGAAAATCAAAAAATTAGGGGTCCAGAGGTGATGTGCCATGGTAACACAAATAGACTCACATAGGAAAGGTTCTGGGTTTGAGTCCTGGGACCTCCCTGAGCATGCCCACATGGTATGCCCATGATCTGGGCCAAGTGAGACTGGGGACAGTCACAGTGTAAAGACCCCACTGGGGAGGGGCCAGCAAATGGTGTAATGATTATATTATTGGACTCCCATGTAATAGACCATGGTTCGAGTCCTAGGCCTGGTGGCTTAAAACTCATGCCTGGTGTGCATGCCCAAACTCCTGAGAGAAGAACAGAGGAGAAGGGATTGTGGCATGGCATCCCCCAGGAAGTGATTTCTCGCTTTCTGTCTCTCTGACAGGCACCTGTACCGTACAATAAAAGCCTCTCTCTAAAAAAAGACCCCATTGGGAATGCCTGTCTCCCTGTCTCTCATTCATAAAAGAAATTAATTAATTAAATAGTTTAAAATGCATTTAAAAAAAAAAACCCTTAAGCCTCTACGTTACTAAAAAAGATAAACCAAGTAAAAAACTGGGGGGAAGAGATGAGGTAAAAATATTTGTAACTATAATAGAAGATTGATAAGTGAAATACATGAACTAGAATTTATGAAAAATACTGACTGTCAACAGATAAAATACAGCCAGTACACATAAAAGATGTTTCCTGTCATTGATATCAAGTACATAAGGAAAAATGAAACATTAGTTTGTCAGGAAAGTCATGACACATTTTTGCATAGAAAAAAAAAAAAAAGAAAGAAAATTACATCATGACTTTCCCAACAAACTAATACTCTCTCTCCTAGAAAATTTTCTAATATTATTAAAATGAGAATATTACTTGGTTAGTGGAAGCAAAAATGAATAGAAACTGGTTAGCGACTAACTGCAATACTGACTAAGATACCACAGGCATCCAAAGCATTTGGTTCTGCTTCTGGTCATCTGCTGTAAATATGGGAGTGATCTGAAACACAGAAAATGCCGCTGTCCAGGTGCTCATAAAAACTGAAAACAAGGGAGACCAGCAGTTGGCGTAATGGCTATGTCGCTGGACTCCTATGTAGTTGACCATGGTTTGAGTCCCGGACCCGGTGGCTTAAACTCACGCTGGGTGCATGTGCATGCGTGCCCAAGATTCTGAGAGGAGCATGGAGAACGGATTGCGGCACGGCCATCCCCCGAGGGATGATTTCTCGTTTTCTGTCTCTCTGTTTCTCTCTGTCTTTCTGGAGAACACACACGTACTCTATAAAAAAACTCTCCAAAACAAACTTGAAAACAAGCCTCGATGTCTTGGGATGGGATTAAATAAATCATGAACCACTCCTAAGTGGAATATTTTTAATACTTTTTACAGCTATTTTAGTAGTATAAGGAAATCCAAATAAAAACAATGCTGGAGTTTTTTTGTTGTTGTTGAAAAAAATGGAAAACAAAATTATATACTCAGACTTTTTCAACTATGGAAAACAAAATATGAATTAAAAAAAAAAAGGAAAATATATCAACAAACCAAAGGTGGCTGCAGGATTACTGATGACCTTTTAACCATGTTTTCTATATGCTTTTTTCTGCATATTTTTCAGATCTTCTGTAAGGTGCATATATTACTGTTATAAGTATAAAAAAAAAAAATAACAGGGCTAGCAGGTAGTATGGTGATTAAGCCACTGGACTCCCATAGGGCTAACCATGGTTTGAGTCCCAGACCTGGTGGTGGCTTGCCTTCTCTCTCTCTTTCTCTCTCTCTCTGGTGAGCGCAACCTATAGCAAAATTTTAAAATGATAATAGATAAAATTAAGTAAATAAATCTTTTTTAAAAATTAACAATGTCATGTGAGTCCACGATAAACAATGGCTGGGACTCCAACAGCCTTCCCCCTTACTCCTACAGATAGCAAAATGCTATGCAGGAGGCAGGTAAAGAGGTAAATGGGGGTGGGAGGGGAGCTGCTCTGTTTTACCTCTAGAGCTAGAAAAACATTAGCCTTCTTGATGTGTAAACAGAAACTTTCATGACCCACAAATCAAAACAACTCTGCAAACTCACTAACTGAAACATTTTCCATTAGAGGATTTAAACCTGCACATCAAAATTACCTCCACAGAACAAACTAGTTAAGCAGGCAGGAAGTTTACAAGGAACACCCTAAAACCTAATCATTGTTTTCACAGCTCTGATAAGTCCATGCCAGCTCATGTTAGTACACAGTGTAACATAAACAAACAATACCGGTCCCACTCCTAAACAGGGGCGTGAAATCCTCAGCAGAAAGCTTTCTGTTGGCGAGAATCAGAGATGCTGTGGAAATTAGGACTTTGGGGGTTCACGCATCTCAACATCAGCCTTTTGAGATGGTTTTCATAGAGCAACAGCTAACTATGCCAAACCCTTCGCATTCATTCTTTGGTTTCATCTTAGCAACTATATAAAGCAGGGTTTCTCAAATTCTGCACTAAAGGGGCTGGATCATTCTCTGTTGGTGGTGGTGTGTTCCTTCCTGTGCCTTATAAGACGGCCAGCTAAATTTCTAGATTCTACCCACCAAATGCCAGTCACACTCCCACGTCCAAGTTGTGACATGAAAAACATCTAATGTTGCAAAATGACTCCTACAGGTCAAAATCATCTCCACTGAAAACCACAGCTGTAAGAATATGTATCCTTCTTGTCTTCATTTGACAAATAAAGAAGGTGAGACACAGCTACGGGCCCATCTAACTCCGGAGCCCCAAACCCACAACTCCACACTACATCGGTGCTCAGATAGAAGACCTGTCTCAGAGTATAACTGACACGTGTCTTTTCCACCTGGGTCATCTTTGCATCCCCATGGAGCTTGGTATAGTTCTTAACACATGCATTGAATGTCCATCACTCTGATTACATAAATACAGAGTTCCTAGTGGGTAGTGGGTCCTGGTAACAAAGGCACAGTCCATGGTCTTCACCTAGTCTGAAATCTGTTCAGAGAAATAAGACATAACCAGAGCTAAGCCATTTGGAGAGTGAACTTGGGAGAAAACTCTCAGTCTCATCTGTAAAATGGAGATAATGCTAGTGCTGCCCTCATAATTAACTGAGATAGTACAAGTAAATTCCCTACCACAAAATGCAGCTTCAAAAAGCAACGAGAGCGTTCAGCCTGTGGTGCAGTGGTTGAGGCAGCTGGATCCCACATGGATCACTGTACAGATCGAGTCCCAGAACAGGTAGCTTGGGAAACATGCTGGGCACATGTACGTATGTGCCAGAAACCCCAAGAGCAGAGAGAAATGGAGGAGAAAGGACCACAGAGTGACCATGCCCCATGAGGGGACTGCTTCAGCACTCTCCTCCCCTCCACAAGTGCACAGGCCTGCTGGTAAAATTTAAAAGAAGAAACACAGTTGGATACTTAAATGCATGGTAACAAATAGGCATAGGCATGGGAAGAATCACAGCATATCAAAATCATGAGGCTGGAAAGAACCTTTGAAAACAAACTAGACTCACAACCCACTTGGTAAACATTCAAAAGCCCAAAATTTGATTACCTGATTCTCGCAAAGTTCCTGGGCTGAGGTCTGACTGGGATTCTCAGCAACTTCCCTGGTGATCTGCTGTTAAGGGCACCTGGAGAAAAGAGGCAGGTTTAAGCCAAGAGAAGAGTGACAGGGAAAACAGCATGGTTTGCCGGACTTAACACACTCCAAGGGTTGGAGCCTGGCTCCTCTGCAAAAGGGCAGGCAAAGACCAGTGGAAAAGGTGGAGATCAGATGAGGAAGTCACAAGGTGACAATGGCCAGGTGAGACCTCAGAAATATTTCTAACAAAAGCAACCAAGGACTACTACAAAGCATATGTCAACCTACACTATGAAGAACTTAATTTCTTTTTTTCTTTTTTTTTTTTTTTTTTTTTACAGATTTTTGCTGTACGGCATGTGTGCTCGCCAGTGAGAGAGAGAGAGACAGAAAGCGAGAAATCACCCCCCAGGGGGATGGCCACACCACAATCCCTTCTCCTCTTGGGATTTTGGACAGGCACGCATGCACACAAGCCGGCATGAGTTTTAAGCCACCAGGTCCGAGTCCTGTGAGTTTGAAACCCTGGGTCCAAAACTCGAACCATGGTCAACTACATGGGAGCCCAGTGTTGTAAACCATTACATCATCTGCTGGTTCCCACAATTTCTCAGACTAAAAGATCAGCATTTAGATGTTTCACAGCATTCCCTGAAAAATGACAGATACTTGCTTTAAATTTACATAACTTAAAGTGAAGACTTTACAAAGGGTCATCTGCCCTAAATGTAAACTCAAGCATCTTCTCCCCAGATCCAGTTGATCCTGTTCTTTAGGACACCAGTACAGCACACAGAAGCAGAGCTTACAGTAGCCAGATCTATTCATTTTTTTAGACTCTCCGTGGCTCAGGGTGGCCTTGAACTCATGATCCTCTTGCCTCAACCTCCATAGTAGCTGAGGTTACAGACACACACCACCATGCCCAGCAAGATCTCTTTTTTTAAGTTTGAATTTCAATAGGTGAATTTCAGTAAGTGAAACCTCCTAGTCAAAGCCTAATGGCTAAAATTTCTTAAATACAATGCCATGAAACCAAACCATGCAGTCTCTATACCAAGACCACAGTATGAGAACTTGGCTGTGATTCCCATAGCTCACGGGAGGTCAAAGAAAGCCTTGGGACAGGCAGGGTGGCCTCTGAAGATTTGCCTGGTGGTGAGGAACAGAAAGAGAGAAGATACTAACTACAGGTGACAATTGCAAGGTCCGTATTAGAGATGAAGAGGATGGAGCCCAGCAGGTGGCACGGTAGTTGGTGTGCTAGACTCTCACGTGACCAAAATGCCACAAGTCCTGGACCTGGTGGCTTGCTTCCTCACTTTCCCTTTCTCTCTCTCTGGTTAAATTAAATAATAACAAGTACAGTTAAATAAATAATTCTTTTTAAAAGAGAGAGAGATTGTGGAGATGTTAACCAAAGCAATGGCAGAGGGAATAGGAAAAGAATCAAAAAATACTTGAAAGGAAAAAAAATAACAGTACTGATGGCCAGAAGAGGGTCCCGAGGATACTATCTATGAACCTGATTCACTGCAAACTTTGATAATGAAGTTGAGACTTTAAGACTAGAGGGAAACTCAGGTTTAACAGTGAACCTTTTACTTCTGAGAAGCAGAGCCATCTTCATGGACCTGTGACCTGGGTCACCACACAGGACCTGCTGAGAAAAGGCCCCCACACTTGGTTTAATGCTCTGCCACCATCATGAGAATCTTAGTCATTTCAACTTTGAACTCATTCGTGTTTTGTAAATGAGATTGGATGGAGCCCACCTGTGAGCAGAAGAGACTCATGCAACACACTTGGCTGCCATCCTCTGCCACTCCATTCACACAGTGCTCACGATGCCCCATGAGCACAGGATTCTGGTGGACTCACGATGCAGGGACATTCAGCAGACTCCAAAGCCTGTGTTCAAGGTAGGTGTGTTATGCATACAACTGGGTAAGCAAGTAGATGGGTGCCGAGAGCTCCAAGCTATGCCTTCCATCTGAACCAGAATTTGCACCGCATGCAGGAATGAAGCTATGTCTTTCTAAGAAAGAAAAATGACTAAGACATCCTACCATCTCCTCTCTTACTTTTTACTTCCTTGTATTAGCCAAACACCTATACTGAAAATGATGGCACAGAGGCAGAAGGAAAGACAGGGCAACTCCTAGTCTTCTCCTTCCAGTCTTTTCCTATGCATCTGTACGCCAGAGGTAGAGTGTTGACAGGTTATACACGCAGCAAGCACGAAAGCTGAGTTAATTTTGTGCAGTGTTTCCACTCTTGCTGTACAAACAACAAAACTGTGAGATTTCAGGAATTCTACATCTGAGTTCAGTGCCTTTCTGTTTGCACTGAAAACTGGAGTTCCACAATATAAAGGTGAACAATAAAAATCATGTTGATAATTTCAACTGTAATATTTTTATTTAATTTAAAAGTTTAATTCAAACTGTAACTTTAAATGTTTAAGCTTTCTTCATTTAGAATGGCAATAATAACAAACTAACACCATGGCAAGAAAACTGTTGAAAAAGGAAAAAGTTTTTTTATAAATATTAGTACCTTTACCAGTTATTATTTCATACCTTTTTTAAAAAAAATTATTAAATTTTATTTATTCATTTATTTTATTTTTTTATTTGACCAGAGAGAGACATCGAGAGTGAGAGTGAAAGTAAGAAAGCAAGCCACCAGGTCTGGGACTCGAACTGTGGTTGGCCGTGTGGGAGTGTCCAGCACCTTAACCACCATGCCACCTGCTAGTCCCCTTTTCCTGCCTTTGGATCATGGGGTCACACATTTTCAGTTTGCACTGAGCTCTAAATTCATGCAGCCAGCTCTGTTGGGAACCACTCACCTCAAGAATATTATGCCTAAGTATGCTATATCAACCTGAAAAAGCCCTTCCTGACATCTTGCAAAACCAATACTCAAAGACCCACAAATGAGTCAATGGGGTTGTTTTGATATTTAGTATGTACCACATACCACTCTTTTCTATTTTTTTTGAAGTTTACATTTATCTCTCTTTTTTTTAAGATTTTTTTTTATCATTATTATTATTATTATTTTAACCAGAGGGCAGGGGAGTGAGAAAGTAAGCCTCCAGGTCTGAGACTAGAACCATGGTCAGCCATGTGAAAGTCCAGTACCTTAACCACTATGCCACCTGCCGGCCCTGGGGGTCCTATTTTAACAAGACCCTGGCAAACTCCAGAACCAAGCTGTTTCTCACCACTCAGAGTGCTCAGGTTTCCCCCCCAAGAAATTGGTCTGTGAGCCACTAAGTCCAGTAGTCTAAAAATGCCTCCTTAAAATGCAGTCAAGTTTTCCTTTGTCTGAATTCATTTTCTTTTTTCCCCCACTACTTTCTACTTCAATAAATTAACTTCCTGCCTGGAGACACATCCTGGCAAATGTGTCAGTTTGTATTGTTTAGATGAGAGACTTCTGCCATTCTTTCAAAATTTTCCTTTGTACCAATAATCCCTAGAGCCAGCTTCTTGGGAGCTTGAGTTACTTGTCTAAGAATTTCCTTTCACTGCTTTCTACTCCACTAAAAGAATGCAGACTGCCTTAAGTAAATTTACTCTGTTCTTATCACTTCCAATCACACTTTTTTCCATTTCCACTTATCCTTTCTTCCATCCCTCTGAAGAAGGGTTCTCATAGATTCCAAGACTAGCCTGCAATCTTCCATCTTATTTTGAGTCTATCCTAGTCCTTGTCCCCTAGACCTGATATTCACTCTTTTCTCTCTTTTGCTTCTTTAACGTCATCTTTCAATCTGTACCTCCCTCAGACCCAAACTATTGTAGTTTTCTCTCTTGGCTCAATTCCTTTAAAGGACAGGTGACAGCAGGTGCTGGATCCCACATGGCTGACTGTGCAGTTCAAATCCCGGCCCCAGTAGGTGAAAAACATACTAGGCGCATGTGCACACATGCTTAAAATTGCGCAAGAAGAATGGAGAAGGGATTATAGTGTGGTCATCCCTCCCCTGGGGGGGGGGACTTCCTCATCTTCCCTCCCTCCCTCTCCAATGAAAGCATGGAGCCTACAGCAAAAACAAACAAATAAAATAGAAAGATAGATTAAAGGACTTTGTAGAGATGACTGAATCCTAAAAAAAAAAAAAAAAAGTATGACCTAGGCCACCAGCAGAGTGTCACCTCCCAGGTATCCAACAATATGCACCGTAGGTTCCATCTCTACTGTATTATTAAAACTGCTCTCTCCCAGTTCACGAAACAACCTGGTGGGGCAGTTTCTCATCCCCATCCGTGAACTGAGGCTCTGCACTGGACACCATGGATGGTCCAATGCTGAGCGCACTTCCTCCCTCACCACCACCCAGCTCCACTTCTCCGGTAATTGGTGCTCTTTCTTTTAATAACTTTCGTTTTGTCTGACCATTTCTTTTTTTTTCTTTCTCAGAGAATTATTTTATTTAATTGTATTCATTGTCATTATTTTATTTTATTTTTTAAAGTTGACAAAAGAGAGACAGAGAGAGAGGAAAACTGAGAAAGCAAGCTGCCAGGTCCAGGACTCAAACCGCAGTCAGCCACGTGGGAATCCAGCTGCCTTAACCATCACACCACCTGCTCGCCCCTGTCTGACCATTTCTAAATGGTGAGAGTTCCTTAAAGGCTATGTGCTTTTGACTAATGCACTCTTTTTTTGGAGAGTTTGTCTACCCCCATTCTTTTTAAGTTTATTTATTTCCTTCATATGAAAGACAGAGTGAAAACAGACACTCTGGACAGGGTCTTCATGCTCTGATCCTCCCCCAGCTCTGAACCCAGCTAGGATGATTGGTGTACTTACGGATGTTCAAGTGGGCTCACTGAAGAGGGAGGGGAGAGAGACAGAGAGGGAAAGTGAGAAATCAACCTCCAGGGAGATGACCATGTTGCAATCCCTTCAACTCCATTATCTTCCTGGGATTTTGTGCGCACATGCGCCCAGCGTGATTTTCAAGCCACCCATCCAGGCCCTGAACTGTAGTTTGCTATGTAGAGAGATTCAGCACTTTAATCACAATGCCAC